ACCAATGTATTTGAACTACAGTAAACTGCCCGTTATCCGGCATCCACGTGGATTGGTAGGTTCCGGATAAATGTAGTTTCCGGTTGCTTGTGAGTTACTAATAAAAATAGGTCTAACTAATGCTATACCCCATGATCTCTGTATTGACTTCATATTATTATTTTAAAATGCAGTAATCAAAAGCAAATTAAGACAAATAGACACACAATCATTTCCAGTATAATACGTGCCGCAAATCAGCAGAACAGCAAGTACACAGGGGATTTCTTTTTCTGGTTAGATGAGAGTTCTGGTTAGTTGAATACCGGATAACCAAGAGTTTACTGTATTATGAAAGTTTTATTTAGGTAATCTGTGAAGGGTGATTTTAAGCCCCACCATCACAATAATTCATTCCTGCCCGTCCATACCAGCTAAGCACCCCTATTTCACCAATCTCCCAGAACTAAAGCCAAACCTTTTTTTCTGGCTTTATTCCTCTGCTGGGCCAAAGCAGTACATTTACTAATGTCCTCCTGTGACCCAAACTCAGCATATAGTAGGCTACTGCCCGTCATTTGCTGACAGTGAAGATCCGCGCTGTAGCTGTGGGAAAGATCTCAACAATGTCAGGATCACCCCGTTACCTGATTGACAGCTAGCTCTGCCTCTCTAGAGCCAGAGCCAGAGCCAGCTGTGCCCACCCCCTCCCCTGTCTGTCCCTCTGTAGGATCGTAGAGGGGAGAGTCCATGTAGGGAGCGGTGACTGACAGTCACCACTCTCTGCATGGAGAAGACTGTGAGCTAAGCGATCAGCTCCGCCCACACAGCCCCATCATCCATTCACAGATCCTTTGATAGGGTCTGTGAATTAAGAAAATACACTTCCGGCACGTTGCATAGAACTCACCTAGCGTGGAGTACTCACCGTGGTAATGAAGGATGAAAGATGATCTTGGACCTGGTGAGCAAAGAAAACATTTCATGATGTGATCGCGGTTATACCATCATAGCATTCTCAAGACATTTCATCACAATGCATGTTTCTAAAGCTGGGCAGAGATCATACTTGCAGCAGGCTGTGCATGAGAGAAGTATGGCCAAACCTCTTTTTGGCTTTAGTTTTTTTGGGGGTCACAGGAGGACATTTACTAATGTCCTCCTGTGACCCAAAGTCAGCAAATAGTGGGCTACTGCCAGCTATATGCTGACAACGTAGAGCTGCACTGCAGCCGGGAATGATCCTGACAATATTGTTGAGATGCACCCCCCTGCCTGATTGACAGCTAGCTCTGCCTCTCTAGAGCTAGAGCCAGCTGTGCCCGCCCCCTCCCCTGTCTGTCCCTCCAATGGGTGCTGGAGGAACAAAAAGAGGGGAGGGAGGAATCCCTGCGGGGAGTGGTGACTGAGAGTCACCTCTCTCTGCAGGGAGAAGACCATGAGCTGAGCGATGGTGTTGTGATTGATCAGTTCTCGATCTATAGAGCCGACGTGGGACAGCTGCAGCGTCCCATGCAGATCTAAGTATTGGGAAGAATACATTTTCCTCTCTCAATACTTCTCCTTTAAGGCCTGGTTCACACCTAGGCGTATTGCATATGCGCGTCTGTCGCGCGGTTTTTTTTACCGCGATTCGCTGTAAAAAAAATCGCGCGACAAACGTTTCCGAGGGCTACTTGGCTGTATCCCAATGGAAACACGCAACAAAAACGGCCCAAAGTAGTACATGTACCTTTTCAGGCGTGGGCCGTTTTGTAGCGCGTTAGGGACGGGCTGAAATACCCCCAGGTGTGAACCAGACCCATTGAAAACAATGGGATTTTCATGTTTGAGCGTTTTGTAGAGCGTTCGTCAAGCGTAGAACGCGCTACAAAACGTTCAGGTGTGAACGAGGGCTAAGGAGCGGCTACAAACCTAAAGCCGGCTACTTGAATGGAAACGCAGACTATGAAACACAATTTGTTTGCACATTAAAATACGTAGAATTTTTCCTGAGCGGAAATCACATTCACGGTTAGAATTTGGTTCGTTCACATAGGAATTGACACAAAATGCCCATCTTGCTCCTTAGATTTTTCTTGTGACTAAGGCAAGAAAAATCTAATTGTTTAGAAAATTTGTGAATGCAATTCTACTGGTGTATGGTATGAAAGTGCAACTGATGCCTAAACTTTTTGTTTTTAGTGTTTGGTAGAGAGGAGAGGGATTAGAACACCTTTCATGTTTTTATTGCCCCTTAGGGAGATTCACCCTCTCTATATGCCCTGGTGAATGTAATTACTGAAAGTGAAAGCAAAATTCCAAACGTTGTCACCAGAACAGGAATAGATGGGAAATCTTCCAATGGGGACGCTAGTTCTGGTGACCCTGCTAACCATCAGGGATTTCCCTCTATTTGGAGGGATTTCCTTTCACTTCCGGTTGTGGCTATTGGACAGCAAGTGAAGGGAAATCTCCCCAATCGGACACTGATGGCAAAAAAAAAAATGATTTTTAGAACCCTCCCTACACAAATTGGCTTCAGCTCTACTGTACACAAAACATTCCATTGGGCTTTCAATGTCCATGTGAAGGTTCCTTTGGCACTGTTTTTGTTAGGGGGTGCATGTGTGCAGGTTGTGGATACAGCAGGATACTGCGGTGTCCCCGGGAAGGCTGGAGAAGAATACCAGCGTGATGCATCATACCAGTGTGATGCTCTTCTTCTGTACAAATGAACAGATCCTGCAATGTCAGCACTTACAGATGCTGCAATCCATTTGTGGTGTACAATGAAATTGCTGCTTGGCTGGGCGCCGGGGAGATGGAGCCACTTAACATTATCCAGAGCTCAGCACTTCTCAAGACAAATGCTCTGCTAGGATGTTAGATGTAACCTTTTCTTGTGGGTATACTCACGCAGCGTTCCAGCATTACAACTGGACAAAATGCTATATTTGATATGCTCCGGACCACCCTGCCACTACTAGATTCCCAAAATGACTTCTTAGTAGAAATGGTGAAGTAGCCCTAGATTTGGGTGAAGACTGCCAGCGCACAGAACAAACACTGGCATTATTCTATCCCTACTAACAAGGCCAGGGGCAGGCACACTCCGGTGTTCTATCGAAAGTTCCAACTTGTCGAGCTCTCCAACTGGTGAGGTCACATCCAGTGACTGCCAGTAGGAGAGCCACAGCAGATGGTGCTAGTGCACATGCCCAGGAAAACCTTGTCTAACTATTGCCACAGCGCCTGCGCGGCTATCCACTTCTATAACCTACTACAGTTATACTTGTCCTAGATTATAGAAGCCAATAGACGCGCAGGCGCAGTGGCTATTGCCTTATCGGATTCTATAACCTAGTGAAAGGTTATATTATGTTACAGCGCCTGTGCGGCCACACGATTCTTTCTACAACCACAGTTGCCAGTGTGCCTGCATGGTTATCGGCTTCTATAACCTAGGACAAATATAAGTTTGTCGTAGGTTATAGAATCCGACGAGCCGCTAGCCGCACAGGTACAGTGGCAATAGTTAGAGCTAGTGCGCATGGGCAGATAATCCTTGTCGCACTGTCTATCTGCTGTACATCTCCTACTGGCAGTCACAAGTCGGAGCTTTCGATAGAACACCGGCCCTCCAACCGTGGTAGAGCTACAAATCCCACCATGCATCTGCCTCTGGGAGTCATGCCTGTGGCTGTGAGAATCTTGCAATGAATCATGGGATTTGTAGTTCCACAATGCTGGGTCTGGACAAGACCCAGCATTAAAATAGAATGCAAACTGTTGGCGCTATATAAATCTTGTATAATAATAACTGAAGCCAAAACTTTATTTTAGTTTTGGATAGAGTAAGGGAGGGTTATAACCCGTGAGCTTTTTTTTTGCCAGCTGTATCCCACTGGGGAAATTTCCCTTAACTTCCTGCCTGATAGGCACAGCAGGAAGTGAGAGGAAATCCCCCCGGGTATACCAAAGCACTAACGTGCTTGTTGGGGTTCAGGGGAGCTCCTTCCATGTTCAGAGAAGCTCAGGTTCAGGGGATTCGGTCTAAACCTGAGCTGGTCTCTAGCTCTGAACCCAGCCAGGGCTCTGGTGAGTGCACAAGGCCTCACAGGGAACATAAGTATCAGAAGTAGAGGTAATGGGCTCGCTGTGGTTCCATCCTCTTCCCCATACATCACTACAGGATGGCACCACAGCAGGTCCGGGTCCTGGAAGTGCAGTATCCAAAAGAGTCTGATGGAGGCCCCAGCACAAGACAAGGGAGACTGGTCTCCTGATAGACAAGTATCATAAATCTTCTCTAGCAGGGAATGACTATTGTGAATCTGTTGGGGATGACATGGGGGGTTTTAAGTAATTATGGAATATAACATGGGTACAAAAAATGAAAAAAAGGCCTCAGTCATGAAGGGGTTAAAGCAGGGGTGAGCAACTCCGGCCCTCCAGCTGTTGTGGAACTAGAAGTCCCATTAGGCATTGCAAGATCCTCACAGCCACGACTCCCAGAGACAGGTGCATCATGGGGCATGTAGTTTCACCACAGCTAGAAGGCTAGAGCCTACCCACCCGATTTAAAGGCATAATTTAGAAAAAGAGGTCAAGGGTTAACATTTCTGTCAGGTTATCATTTCTGTTATTGACCCCAATAAGATTTTCCTTTCATTCCCAGGGATTGCCCCAGCTGATTGGGCCAGGGGGCATTGATGTCACATCACATGACTGATGAGATTGTACAGTATATGGTAATTGATTGCATGGTTCTGATTGCACTGTCCTCATGTTATATATACAAAAGAGATTGTACATAGATATAGCGTATGGCCTACTCAGCAGACTGGAATGTGTAGTCACACATCATAACATAACAGCACCTAGAATGCAGATGAGCTGCCCGGGCCTGTCTGCTGACTTCACTGCCGGAATCTGCCGCCTCCAATCGGCCGCCAGGAAATCTGCTCAGATTGACATCTGCGAATCAAAACCGACGTCCCCAGTGCGACTTCTGGGCCGGTGACATCATCACGCACGGGACGTAGTATGGGCAGGAGCTGGTTGTGAAGCCGGAGCGGCCATCTTGAAGCATCAAGGAGAGCTATAGGAAGACAGGAGACAGGCCGGGCCCCGGGGCCGGAGGAGGAGGAGGAGAGGGCCCTGGATAGCCGTGTACACGGGGGAAACATGTCTGAGACATACGGTGAGAGGAGCCTGTGGGACGTATTCACGTGAGAAAGACTGTCAGTGACGGCTGAGGGGATATTAGTGATGGAGGATGTGAGGAGACAGGTGAAGTGAGATCGATAATGGAGGGTTTGGAGTGACGAACGATTTCAGTGATGGAGGCTGTGGGGTGGAGAATGGTATTAGTGATGAATTATATCAATAATGCAGAGTGTGTGGGGGCTGATAGGTGATGGAAAGTGTAGGGGGTGGCAATCTGTGATGGAAGGTGACAGGTGACATGAGTGATGGAGGGTGCAGGGTGGCAGGTGACATGAGTGATGGAGGGTGCGGGATGCATTAGTGATGGAGGGTGACATGACGAGGGTGACATCGGTGATACAAAGTGTGGAGGTGGCAATCTTTGATGAGGGTGACAGGTGACGAGGGTGTGGGGTGGCAGGGGACATTAGTGATGGAGGGTGCCGGGTGACAGATGACATCAGTGATGGAGGGTGCAGGGTGACATCAGTGATGGTGGGAGGAGGGTGCAGTGATGGTGGGAATAGGGTGACAGGTAACATCAGTGATGGAGGGTGCGGGGTAGCAGGTGACATCAGTGATGGACGGTGACAGGTGACATCAGTGATGGAGTATGCGGGGTGGCAGGTGAAAACTGTGATGGGTGCAGAGTGACAGGTGACATCAGTGATGGAGGGTGACAGATGACGAGGGTGACATCGGTGATACAAAGTGTGAGGGTGCGGGGTGATAGGTAACATCAGTGATGGGGGGAGCAGGGTGACAGTGATGGGGGAGCAGGGTGACAGATGACATCAGTAATGGGGGAGCAGGGTGACAGGTGACATCAGTGGGGGGAGCAGGGTGACAGGTGACATCAGTGATGGGGGGAGCAGGGTGACAGGTGACATCAGTGATGGGGGGGAGCAAGGTGACAGGTGGCATCAGTGATGGGGGAGCAAGGTGACCAGTGATGGGGGGGAGCAAGGTGACATCAGTGATGGGGGGAGCAAGGTGACATCAGTGATGGGGGGAGCAAGGTGACAGGGGACATCTGTGATGGAAAGTGAAATCTTTGATGGAGGGTGCGGGATGACAGTGACATCTTTGACAGAGGGTGCAAGGGGACATCAGTGATGGATAGTGACAGGTGACATCGGGGTTGCATGGTGACATCTGTGATGGAGGGTGACAGGTGACATCGAGGTTGCAGGTTGCATGGTGACATCTGTGATGGAGGGTGACATTGGTAATGGATGGTGTGGGGTGACAGGTGGCATCGGTGATTGAGAGTGATAGGTGCTATGGGCTATGGAGGGTGCGGTATGACAGGGACATTGGTGGTGGAGGGTGCCAGCTGACACCCAGCTTGATAGGAAGTGTGACACTGGTGAAGAAGGGAACGGGGTGATAGATGACATCAGTAAGAGAGGGTGCAGTTTGGCACGTGGCATCTTTAATAGGCAGTGTGGAATGACAGGTGACATCGGAGAGGGTGGGTAGAGGGAGAGGGAGAGTGCAGGTCGATTGGTAATGTTGGGTGCAAGTTGACAAGTGACATTGGTAATGGAGTGTGTTGTTTGTCAGGTGACATCAGTGATGGTAAGGGCTGGTTGATAGGTGACATCTTTGGACAGTGCGGGTTGATAGATGATGGTGGTAATGGGTGTGGGGTGCAGTTTAGAAGGTGACAGTGATGAAGGGTTCGGATTGACAGATGACATCAGCAATAGGGTGCAGGCTGGGGGACAACAGGTGAGGTCAGTGCAGAGTTAGGGGTAGCAGCTGAGGTGAGGTGAGGGCTAACAGGAGACATCAAAGGCTTGGAGATTGGCAGGTTCATTGAGGGCATGGGGGGTGGAGATTGATGGAGGATGTGAGGACGGTGCTGTTGATTGATATCGGCCACCATTTCCTGTTCTGGTCTCTGCTTTTATTAGAAGTAGTATTAAGGTTTCCTCATTCTCTGAGTGGCAGACATGCAGAAGGTCCCCTGTCCCGGTCACACATCGGTGTGGAAGGTTTGCAGAGTCCCCTGTCCCGGTCACACATCGGTGTGGAAGGTTTGCAGAGTCCCCTGTCCCGGTCACACATCGGTGTGGAAGGTTTGCAGAGTCCCCTGTCCCGGTCACACATCGGTGTGGAAGGTTTGCAGAGTCCCCTGTCCCGGTCACACATCGGTGTGGAAGGTTTGCAGAGTCCCCTGTCCCGGTCACACATCGGTGTGGAAGGTTTGCAGAGTCCCCTGTCCCGGTCACACATCGGTGTGGAAGGTTTGCAGAGTCCCCTGTCCCGGTCACACATCGGTGTGGAAGGTTTGCAGAGTCCCCTGTCCCGGTCACACATCGGTGTGGAAGGTTTGCAGAGTCCCCTGTCCCGGTCACACATCGGTGTGGAAGGTTTGCAGAGTCCCCTGTCCCGGTCACACATCGGTGTGGAAGGTTTGCAGAGTCCCCTGTCCCGGTCACACATCGGTGTGGAAGGTTTGCAGAGTCCCCTGTCCCGGTCACACATCGGTGTGGAAGGTTTGCAGAGTCCCCTGTCCCGGTCACACATCGGTGTGGAAGGTTTGCAGAGTCCCCTGTCCCGGTCACACATCGGTGTGGAAGGTTTGCAGAGTCCCCTGTCCCGGTCACACATCGGTGTGGAAGGTTTGCAGAGTCCCCTGTCCCGGTCACACATCGGTGTGGAAGGTTTGCAGAGTCCCCTGTCCCGGTCACACATCGGTGTGGAAGGTTTGCAGAGTCCCCTGTCCCGGTCACACATCGGTGTGGAAGGTTTGCAGAGTCCCCTGTCCCGGTCACACATCGGTGTGGAAGGTTTGCAGAGTCCCCTGTCCCGGTCACACATCGGTGTGGAAGGTTTGCAGAGTCCCCTGTCCCGGTCACACATCGGTGTGGAAGGTTTGCAGAGTCCCCTGTCCCGGTCACACATCGGTGTGGAAGGTTTGCAGAGTCCCCTGTCCCGGTCACACATCGGTGTGGAAGGTTTGCAGAGTCCCCTGTCCCGGTCACACATCGGTGTGGAAGGTTTGCAGAGTCCCCTGTCCCGGTCACACATCGGTGTGGAAGGTTTGCAGAGTCCCCTGTCCCGGTCACACATCGGTGTGGAAGGTTTGCAGAGTCCCCTGTCCCGGTCACACATCGGTGTGGAAGGTTTGCAGAGTCCCCTGTCCCGGTCACACATCGGTGTGGAAGGTTTGCAGAGTCCCCTGTCCCGGTCACACATCGGTGTGGAAGGTTTGCAGAGTCCCCTGTCCCGGTCACACATCGGTGTGGAAGGTTTGCAGAGTCCCCTGTCCCGGTCACACATCGGTGTGGAAGGTTTGCAGAGTCCCCTGTCCCGGTCACACATCGGTGTGGAAGGTTTGCAGAGTCCCCTGTCCCGGTCACACATCGGTGTGGAAGGTTTGCAGAGTCCCCTGTCCCGGTCACACATCGGTGTGGAAGGTTTGCAGAGTCCCCTGTCCCGGTCACACATCGGTGTGGAAGGTTTGCAGAGTCCCCTGTCCCGGTCACACATCGGTGTGGAAGGTTTGCAGAGTCCCCTGTCCCGGTCACACATCGGTGTGGAAGGTTTGCAGAGTCCCCTGTCCCGGTCACACATCGGTGTGGAAGGTTTGCAGAGTCCCCTGTCCCGGTCACACATCGGTGTGGAAGGTTTGCAGAGTCCCCTGTCCCGGTCACACATCGGTGTGGAAGGTTTGCAGAGTCCCCTGTCCCGGTCACACATCGGTGTGGAAGGTTTGCAGAGTCCCCTGTCCCGGTCACACATCGGTGTGGAAGGTTTGCAGAGTCCCCTGTCCCGGTCACACATCGGTGTGGAAGGTTTGCAGAGTCCCCTGTCCCGGTCACACATCGGTGTGGAAGGTTTGCAGAGTCCCCTGTCCCGGTCACACATCGGTGTGGAAGGTTTGCAGAGTCCCCTGTCCCGGTCACACATCGGTGTGGAAGGTTTGCAGAGTCCCCTGTCCCGGTCACACATCGGTGTGGAAGGTTTGCAGAGTCCCCTGTCCCGGTCACACATCGGTGTGGAAGGTTTGCAGAGTCCCCTGTCCCGGTCACACATCGGTGTGGAAGGTTTGCAGAGTCCCCTGTCCCGGTCACACATCGGTGTGGAAGGTTTGCAGAGTCCCCTGTCCCGGTCACACATCGGTGTGGAAGGTTTGCAGAGTCCCCTGTCCCGGTCACACATCGGTGTGGAAGGTTTGCAGAGTCCCCTGTCCCGGTCACACATCGGTGTGGAAGGTTTGCAGAGTCCCCTGTCCCGGTCACACATCGGTGTGGAAGGTTTGCAGAGTCCCCTGTCCCGGTCACACATCGGTGTGGAAGGTTTGCAGAGTCCCCTGTCCCGGTCACACATCGGTGTGGAAGGTTTGCAGAGTCCCCTGTCCCGGTCACACATCGGTGTGGAAGGTTTGCAGAGTCCCCTGTCCCGGTCACACATCAGTGTAGAAGGTCTGCGGAGTCCCCTGTCCCGGTCACACGTCGGTGTGGAAGGTTTGCAGAGTCCCCTGTCCCGGTCACACGTCGGTGTAGAAGGTCTGCGGAGTCCCCTGTCCCGGTCACACATCGGTGTAGAAGGTTCACGTAGTCCCCTGTCCCGGTCACACTTCGGTGTAGAAGGTTTGCGGAGTCCCCTGTCCCGGTCACACATCGGTGTAGAAGATTCGCGGAATCCCCTGTCCCGGTCACACATCGGTGTAGAAGGTTCGCGTAGTCCCCTGTCCCGGTCACACATCACATCGGTGTAGAAGATTCGCGGAATCCCCTGTCCCGGTCACACATCGGTGTAGAAGATTCGCGGAATCCCCTGTCCCGGTCACACATCAGTGTAGGATCACCACATCGGACACACTTGCTGAGCAAATGAATGTTTGATATTTGCTGGAAATGATCAGAGACGGCCGTCACAGGGACAGGGAACCTCTCTCCGTGTTCTGTGTGCTTGTCCCTAATACTCCTCTTATTTTAATTCTCCCCCACACAGCTACCTCCTCATGTATCGCTGGCCCCTCCCTTTTAGATTGTAATTGTCTTGAATTGTATTGTGATTGTAATGTCTTCCTTAAGCTGGCCACACACCTTCCAATGATCTGCAGATTTTTGAATGGTGCCAGCACACCTATGTCTTCTGTCAATAATCCATCTTTTTTATTGATACAGACTGTCACAAAACAACGTTTCGGGGCCACGCAGGGTCTCCTTTATCAAGTTTTAGTATGAGTATACTAATACCTGATGAAGGGGATCCTGTGTGGCCCCGAAACGTTGTTTTGTGACAGTCTGCATCAATAGAGAAGATGGATTATTGACAGAAGACATAGGTGTGCTGGTGACATTTTATCAATGATTTGAAGATGCACCGCGCCATCCGTGGTTACTACAGCACCCTCCTTTATGCATATGGGTTCCGTTAAGGAGTGCAGCAGTTCCTATCTGAGATTATGTTCGATTGGCACCCCAGTCACGCCAGGCAGATCATGCGGTTTCCCGCCGCAATACCGCCCGCACGATCGTTGTTCAAAAACTTGCGTGGTGCGTGTCGCAAAAAGATGTACCTGTACCTTTTTTCAGCGATTGGCACGCGGATATCGCTGTGTACGATCGCGCGCTCCTGGGATTGCCGATATCTGAACCTAGCCTTATATCGAGGTGGAATTGGATCACCGCACTTCTAGTCTATTGATTATGTCCTCCAACCTCATAACCGAAGGTACGGATCTGGGGCTCGGGTAGAGCTTGCAGGAGCCTGTGCATTGCATCTGCAGTCCACTGATTGAGGCTCCAGTGCAAAAAAATTATTAAATGCCCATTTTTATGCAAAAAGTGGGATTTGCCTTTTTAAATGGACCTTGTGACTTTCCATACCGTTTGATAAAACTACTCGTGTCTCGCAATGCTGGCAGAAAGCTTGCACAATCAAATACTCACTGATCCCAGTTAGTCGGTCGGCTGAATGGCAACATGTTATCAGTAAACAGGCGTTGCCGTGTTTTACAATCTTTTGACGTTTCCATTGGGATGATTGAAAACCCCAAAATGCATAGAAGCGTGTCAACATACATAGGGTGTAAACACGGATATAACATGACAATAAACCCGGAAACATGTTAGAATGCTTGTAGGTGGCCATGGAGTTTGCTGCATTAACGCTGGAGGTTTCGAACATGTGCTCTATGATTGAGACTTTAGTGAGAGAAATTGTATTGTGTAAATGTCGTGATTTGCTGTTGGGAGTTTTAAAATGGTGACCTTGAATATTACTTCAGCAGTATGTTTGCACTGAGGCTTGTGATCTGCAGCAGGTTCTTAACTTTATGACGCCTTCATTACCACAAATACAAAGTGTTCACTTGTGTTTTGTGATTGTATCCAGTCCCTCATATATAATATATTTACTAAACGGGTATCTGTGCTTTCTGTTCACACCCCTGCGGTGCGCATGTAATTCTGCATCACACAAGGTCGCATGTTACACTTTTAAGCTGGCGGTACACCTATAGATTATCTGCAGATTTTCTATGGTCAGATGGAAAAAGTGCAACAGATTCCTCCATCTACGCTACACTGTGTGGACGGAGGAATCTCCCGCTGGACCAAGCTTCAGTATCTTGCTAGTCGGCCCCGCTGGCTCTCCAACACCTGAACAATGCCGCATCCAATCAGATTGTTCAGGTGTTTTGAGAGCTAGCGGGGCCGACTAGCAAGATACTGAAGCTTGGCCCAGTGGGAGATTCCTCCATCCACACAGTTTAGCCAAGATGGAGGAATCTGTAGCACTTTATCTGCAGATTTTCTATGATCAGATGGAAAATCTATAGGTGTACGGCCAGCTTAAAAGTGTAACATGCGACCTTGTGTGATGCAGAATTACATGCGCACCGCAGGGGTGTGAACAGAAAGCACAGATACACGTTTAGTAAATATCTGCAGATAATCTATAAGTGTGTGGCCAGCTTTAGCTGTGGTGCCAATGGCACCCCGCCATCACATGTGCCTTGCATCGCACCACAACATATGGTAACATATCCCCTCACATTGTGGTATGACAAGATTTTTAAAAAAGTTCATGCACTTTTTTTAGTTTGATTTAGATGCAGTAGGCAGCCCATGCAAATGAATGGGCTGACCTACCAAAATGCACCACAACGCACCCTGCAGCACCGCAGAGATGTGAACAGAGCCTAATGCTTTGAAAAATGGTGGAACAAAAATAATCAATTCCCTTTGTACAAGCTCAACTCCACCCTTGTTCTACGCAACACTTACAGGTCTATTTTTATTGAGCACACTGATATCTACAATTACCTCCATTTATCTTCTTTTCACTGCCTTAATGCGGAACTTTACACATGTCTTTGAAATAACAACAAACACACCTTTAGAAATGTTTAGTAATGACAATCTACAAACACATACTTCTAGATCATTGCAGACTTTGTATTCTTTGCATTCCTTGTTTCTCTTTTCTTCCAGTCTTTTGACAGTGGCCATGTTTACTAAGGGCAGATGATTAGATCTCCCTTTACTTCCTGGAACTCTAGAAGTAATAGAGCTAGTAATCAGTGCTCATTAGTAAACATGGCCACTGTCAGAAGACGGGAAGAAAAGAGAAACGAGGAATGCAAAGAATACAAAGCCGGCAATGATCTAGAAGTATGTGTTGGTAGATTGTCATCACTAAACATTTCTAATGGTGTGTTTGTTGTTATTTTCAAGATCTGGGTAAAGGTCCGCTTTAACATGGCACCTTCCTTGGCTGTAAAGAATAAGAGGTTGTAGTCCTGCTTTATGGGCTCGGCACACAGTGGCCGTAGAATGTAAATTCCGCTATAGGCCCGCTGCAACCATGGGCTAATATAATGACAATCCAGTCGCATCTTTTAGCTGTTTATTTAAAAAAAAAAAAAAGTTATTGGCGAGATTTCCCAATTGTTGGACTGACTGTCATTGGTGTTTTTCTGTTTGGTTCCAGACTTTCTATTCAAGTTCCTGGTCATCGGCAGCGCAGGAACGGGGAAGTCCTGCCTCCTGCACCAGTTCATTGAGAGCAAATGTAAGTATTTACTACACATCTGTCAGAGACTAATTCTTATGTACTAGTCGTTATCTAGAGATGGGAAAAGTAGATATGCAAAGATACCGATACTAGTATCGATTCCGAGTATTTAGGTAAGCACGATGCCTAGCACGATACTTCCGGGATTAGGAAGCGCAGCAGTGAGTCATTACACGCTGCCCAGCTTCCTGAATGGCTGGGAAGCCGACTCTATGCTCCCTTGTCACTTGTGACGAGGGAGCATGGAGCCGGCTTCCCGGCCAATCAGGAAGCCGGGCAGCGTGTAATGGCTTGCTGCCCAGCTCCCTGATTGGCCAGCTTCCCGACCAACAGGAAGCCGGGCGTTGTGTAATGACACATCGCCTGGCTTTCTGATTGGCCAGGAAGCCGGCTTCATGCTTCCTCGTCACCTCATGACGAGGGAGCATGGAGCTGGCTTCTTGGCCAATCGGGAAGCCAGGAGCCGCATAATTACACGGCGCCTGGCCTCCTGATTGGCCAGAAAGCCGGCTCCATGCTTTCTCATTATCTAGTGACTAGAAGCATGGAGACGGCTTCCCTGCTAATCGGGAAGCCAGGTGGCCAGTCATTACACGCCGTCTGGCTTCCTTAATGGGACTTCCGGTATTCGAGTACCAAAAAAAAAATATTGGTACTCGATACTGAAATACCAGTATCGGTGCATCCCTAGTTATAAGAACACAACACGTTTTCATATGGAAATCTTCCTGAAACGGTAAAGATGAGGCGTGATTTCGCTTGGCTGACATTTTGCCTTTTGGTGACATTCATTGGCGTCTATGGGGAGGCCGACATTGTGGTGCTTCTAAAGGCTTTTAATGCGCTTTAATTGGCTCCTGAGTGTAACTACTTTGTGACTGAATTTGTTTTTTGTTTTTTAATGCTACCTCAGGATATAAACCCCAAATTTCCCTTTGAGTGGTGCTGCTCCTGCACTGCAAGGGTTAAAGCTTGTTTTTGTCTAGGGTCCCATTGAAGAGCTGCCGTCCTTACTTCCCTTTTCGCTTGCGCCCGCAGGCTTCCTCCCAGCTGCATGACTGTCTGAAGCCACTTCTCTTCACCACTCCGTCAGTCGCAGGCACTCTAATATCCTCACGAATAATGCAGGAAAAGAAGTCGCTGAGGGCCCGCCCACAGAGTAATGAAACTACGGGCAGAATGTTTTTTAACCCTTCCAGTGCAGGGGTAGCCCAACTGCAAGAGTTAATAAGTTGAAGTGCTTGTTTTTGTCTAGGTGCATAAAAAAAAGTTATACTCACTTGATCCTAGGAGCCGGCTTTTTCTTAGACTGGTCCCTGGTGCCTGTCTCCCCATCCATTGCAGTGGTCTAAGGTCCCGTAAATCATAACGTTGTATAGATGTGAGGGCACTGAGGAACATTCCAATGCTGCAGCGTAGAAGGGGCAGGCTTCAGTGACCAGAGAAGCAGTCAGCCGAGTCGACGGTTTGGGTAAGTATAACTTTTTTTAGCACCTAGACAAAAGCAAGCACTTAACCCTTGCACTGTAGGGGTAGCCGTACTGAAGGGGTGAAGACATTTTTTCCCCCCCGGAGTTCTTCTTTAACGCTTGCAGTGGAACTGCAGAGCCATGCTTCTCGTGACAGCACTCGCTCCAGCCTATCTCCTTCTACACTGCAGTGTTGGTATGTCCCTCAGCATCTTTAAGTCCAATACACAGTGTATTTGATGTGATGACTCGAAGTTCCTTAGACTACTGCAGCGGAGGGGGGCTGGAAAGAGCAGGCTAAGACCAAGCCGCCTCCAAGGATGGGGCGAGTATATTTTTTTTATGTTAGCACCTAGACAAAAAGCGAGCATTTAACCCTTGCAGTGTGGGGGGTAGCCCTCGGCGACTGCTTTTCCTGCATTATTCATGAGGATATTAGAGTGTCGGAGCGGTGAAGAGAAGGGGCTTCAGGAGACCAGTCATGCAGCTGGGAGGAAAGCTGCCGCAGCGAGGGATAGGGGAAGTAAGGACGACTTCTAGACAGAAACAAGCTTTAACTCTTGCAGTGCAGGGGCAGCACCACTCAAAGGCTCATTTGGGGGTTTTATCCCAAGTTACTTTAAAAAAACAAATTCAGTCTCTTGAATAACTCTAAAAACGTTTACCAAACATATAAAATAAAGTAGTTGCCTCAGCCGATGGTTCTTATAGGTGCGGGGGATGTCATCGTGCCTCACCACCGCCTCTCGGGAAAGCTAGGCATTCAAACCTCCCAAAATGTGCTCTTGCAGTGTGCTGAAAAACGATTTAAACAGGAAAACAATGGCAGCCTACACGTTTCTCTGTGAAGATTTCCTTGAACGAATCATTTCTGCCTTCAGGACCAGTTTGTGACTATCAATCTGCCTTCTATTTCTTCTAGTTAAACAAGATTCCAATCACACAATCGGCGTGGAGTTTGGATCCAGGATCGTGAATGTTGCCGGGAAATCGGTGAAACTCCAGATCTGGGATACAGCAGGGCAGGAAAGGTTTAGGTATGACCGAGGTGCCAGAAATATAACATCTGGGATCTTGTTGCCTTGTTTTTGTTTTTTTATTATCTTTCAAAGGCAACCATTTTTTTGTGTGCGCAGTGAAGCAGGTTTTATGTTCCCCTTATAGAATGCAGAGCAGAGCCTAGGAGGGCGCACAGGGACTGCAGATTGGTGGATTAATGACTGCCGAGCTCATAGCAGTAAAGACCTGACGGGAAGTTAAACGCATATTAAAGCCCAACTCCAGACACAAGGCAAAAAATCCCTCATACTGCAACAGTAAAAGCTTATTAACCCCTTCATGACTGAGATGATTTTTAGTTTCTGTTCGGTAATGACTGACACAGTTTTGACATTTTTGCTGTGTTATTCTTCCACGTCAGTAATATACATTCTTACAAAGTGCACCCACACATATTATATATTGTTTTTTAGAGGACAGATAGGGCTACATATTTATATCACATATGTGTGTCTAACGCCTCACTTAGGAAAAATAAAATATAAAAAAAGAGGAAAAACCGTTAAAAAAACACTTTTTTCCCAGTTTTGATTTGTAGTATTTTTTTACAAAACCAGCACAGCTAAAAAAAATTCAATAAATACATTCATTTATTTGTCCCTTATTTTATTTTTTTTACACTTTTCACAATTATTATTATTTTTTTACACTTTTCACTATTTTTTTTAAACAGCCAAAAGTGCCATTTTCGGCCGATATGTTTCGGCGGCCGATATATCGGTGCATCCCTAGTAACCGCTGATTCTCAGCGGTTACCAGCCTTCTCGTGCAGCAAATAACTCGTCACGTACAGTGTACGTAACAAGTCATTTGGTCCCTTTTGTGGCGGGACGTACAGGGTACGTCTCCCGTCACGAAGGGGTTAAGTCTAGTGGGTATAAGAAGATGAACCATGACGTACCTTATCACTAGGGATACACCGATACCGAGTACTCGTATTCGCCCAAATGATCTGATGTCTAGCCCGGTACCCAAACTTCCGGTATCAGGAAGCCGGGCAGCAAGTCGTTACACTTGGTGACGAGGAAGCATGGAGCTGGCTTCCCAACCAATCGGGAAGCCGGGCAGCGTGTAATGATGTGCCACCTGGCTTTCTGATTGGTCAAGAAGCTGGCCAATCAGGAAGCCAGGTGATGAGTCATTACCCGCCCCCTGGCTTCCTGATTGGCCAGAAACCCAGCTCCATGCTCACATGTAAGGTAAGTAATATCCTCTCCTCTGTGGGCGTTCTTTCTGCATCATCACGTGCTATTAAAGAAGAATTTTTGTTAACCCTTTCAGTAGGGCTACCCCCGCACTGCAAGGGTAAAGTGCTTGTTATTTTTGTCCCTAGACAAAAACAAAGTGATCCTCTGAGACGGCTGGCTCTTAGACTGATCCTTCTGCCTTGCTCCCCCTCTGCTCCAGAGGTGTGTGGATCCGTGAGTCAGTATGTCCTAGACACTGTATAAAGGACGTGGGGACGCAGAGGTACATACCATCACTGATTAGGAGTAGGAGACAGGTTGGAGAGACTGGTCTAAGAGCCAGGAAGCTCCAAGGATCAGGCGAGTATAACCTTATTTTTTTGTCCCTAGAAGAAAACAAGCTCTTAACCCTTGCAGTGTGGGGGTAGCCCCACTGCAAGGGTTAACAAAAATGTTACCAAGAGTTCTTTAATAGTACACGATGATGCAAAATGAAAAAAGGAAGAATGCCCGCAGAGGAGAGGACATTGCTTACCTTATCCCCACTCCAGCGCCATCCTCTGCTCTCCGTGGCTGGGAACGCCTTAGAGAGGAGGCTTCTCAGAAGCAGTCACGCGATATGCTGTGGCATTGTTGTTTTGTCCTGTGCCTGGAGTTGGGCTTTAATAAATGAAGCAAGGCTGTAGGATATGTACAATTTGCAGAGGCACCTATAAGGGGGAATGGGGGGAATTTCTCAAAATCTGGAGCAGCTGTGCATGGCAACCAATCGGCTTCTCAGTTTGTTCAGTTAAGGTTTTAAAATGAAAGAGAGAAGCTGATTGGTCGCCGTTCACATCTGCTCCAGATTTTGTCTGCTCCAGTATTGATAAATCCACTTCTCTGTGCTTTATGTCGGCTGATTCCGGTTTTCTCTTTTCAGGTCTGTTACACGCAGCTACTACAGGGGAGCAGCAGGGGCATTGCTGGTCTACGACATTGCAAGGTGAGCATGTGTTCCTCAGTAGGGAAGGTTCGCCTGACACCCAGGGCATGCTGTGTCCTAGCTGGCCCGCCCCGTGTCTGTGTACAAAAGCTCTGGTCAGACTTGTTCTTGGGGTTTGCCAAGTGTTGTTAGGTCTTGGCCCAGGAAAGTGAAAATCATTAACTGCTCTGGATGCCGTTCTCAATGTCATGTGATTGTTGTCAGGCCTTGGACAGGAACATGTCACATGTAGTTTATGTGGCTGGCACGTGATCAGTCTTATTTTTTTTACTTCCCCTACATATGTATGCTGAGTCAGTTGTTTGTTTAGTGCACCAGGCCGAGTGTGTGTTTCAGATGGGTACATTTTACATCAAACCTCCCCTGAAATAAAATCACAAGTTGCCATGCCGACCCTTTTGCTTCAATACTGGAAGTCGCTGAACAGGAACACGTGTGTAGATAAGGACTTCTGACTTCTTTGACTTTCCTGATCTGCAGTACTCCTCCAGTAGATGGCAGCATCACCCTTTTTTTTCCCTGTAAATGGACACAACTTCAATAACAGGAGTCTTGCAGTGTTATTTTGCTTTGCCCGAGGTAATGAAATTGAAAATAAAGGTAATACGTCACATTCTTTTAGTAAATAGCTGAACGTGCATGCCACTAATTGATCTGTTGCGCTTTGGGTCTGCTTGGTAATTATCGGATGAGACTACTTTCGTCATGTCTTTGTCCACCAGCAGCTGAAGCGTACATGGACGATACCGCTGTCAGCACCACTGATCACTGTAGTTGTGTCATTCCATTGTGGGAATGGAAAGCTGAAAGTGTGCATTCCTTTCCTATGCTCCCATGTTATCCTATCAGCCTGAGGCTGGGGACTTGTAAGGCGGGGTTGCTTTTAAGATTTTAAAGTAGAACTTCAAGAGTTGTTTTTTTTTTGATACTTTCAGCCCCCCTCAGCATGTTAGTAGAAAATTCAATTTTTTACCTACCCTCTCTATGCTCCAGAACTGCCCGACTTCCTCCTTGGGCCAGCTCTGGCGGTCCTTTAAAGGGCAGAATGACACTCTGCCCATTTCCTAAATTATCCCAGCTTGTTATTTACATGCCCCTCTAGTGGGCACATCATCAGACCGGATTGAGCTGACAGTACTTCGGGGCTGAGTGGTGCTCACATGTCATTTCATGCGTGCCACTCATCCAGGAACAATGCCTGCCAGTGCCAGAAGAAGATGTGCTAGTGATGTCATCAGACTGGCAAGAAGACTGCGGGGGAAAAAAGGTATGTATTGGGGGGGGTTTTTTGTTATAGAAGAGGGGCTTCCAGGGGTGGCGGGGAGTCCTAAACGTCCTGGAATTCCACTTTAAGAATTTATAATAAAGTGATTTATACAATTTTATATATACAATGCAGATATTTTACAGTGCGGGTTCAGTGCTTTGAAATCTTGTCCCTGTTGAACATCTAAAAAGTATCAACATTTACCATAGATGGAAAGAGTTGTCAGAAAAGACACACTGACATTCCGTGCGTCAGCACTGCGGTGTTGCAAGGAATTCTCGTTTGCTATCTCTCTGATTGTCTCTAGTTTCTCTTTATCTCATGATATTTCCTGCCTTTTGTCCGTGGTATCTATATACATGTAGTAGGGGAAGTTGTAGGTTTACATTGCTCTCCTGGGTTTAAAGAGCTGGAGGGGATAGTTAAAAATCCAGTTCATACAGAAGTCTTCAATCTGACCAGGTATTGGGCAGTAATATGGAGGAGTCTACAGCTCCAAGCACCCCCTTGTAAATAATAGTGGGACCTTGATTACACTGCAGTAAAGTGCAGAAAGTCAGGTACAATGAGCCATGGAGAAAACAATGCATTTGTGAAACTGGCCAAACACTTCTAGATTGCTTTAATTCAGCCTGCAAGCTGAACGAAAGAAGTCTTAGGCCCCGTTCACATTGAGCGATTTATCGCGCGGTAATTCCCGTGCGATATCGCTCTCCAATGCTTCTCAATGGGGCAAAGGGTCCTGCTGTCGTGGGTCGTGTGTCGCTACAGCAGGACCCTTTTTGGAGCGGATTTTGCCGCGATTCAAATGCTTTCAATTAAAGCATTTGCGCGAAATCTCGCGATATCGCACAAAATGCAAATCGCGTGACAAACGCGCGATTTGCATATCGCGGAGTGTGAATGGGGCCTTATAGATTTCTCCATCCACACTAAACAGTGGATGGAGGAATCTCCCTTGCCGAGGTTTTGTATTCTGACAGCCAGTGCCCATCAATGTCGGAATACCTGAACGGCCACTGCAACTGGTTGGAGCGAAAAGGAGAGCGCCTGCTGGCAGATGAGCGAGGGATAAAGTTGGCCAAATTCAGCTGAAATTTCGGACGTAGGGGGAGCCCCACTGCAGGGGTAGGTTTTCCCTATTCCCGGTGTTTAGCTTTAATCTGGCTGTCTAACAAAATATACAACAGGAGGCAATGCCAATATACAAGTGATGTGTAAGGCCACACACAACTATCTGTCATCAGTGAAATACCAGCTTTTGGGAGAAGTGACACCTTTGTCTTCATTTTTCTTTTCTTGCAGCCGGGAGACTTACAATTCTCTCACCAACTGGCTAACTGATGCCCGGACACTGGCCAGCCCCAACATCATCATCATTTTATGTGGCAACAAGAAAGATCTGGAGGCGGAACGAGAGGTGACATTTCTAGAGGCATCCCGGTTTGCCCAAGAGAATGGTGAGCGGAATTGGGGTGCAAGGGGGGTATCTTTGTTTTCTCTTCACCTACAGAGGCCTGTCATCATATCCTTGCAATTTATCGTCTCATTTCTGCAGAAGTTAAGTTGCGAGATGAATCAGACTCTGTAGACGAACATAGCATTGTGCGGGGGAGGTGCAGTGGTTTTTATTCTCAGAAAAGCTTTCAGTGCTTCTATGTACTGTGTAAGACATTATTGTCTGACTATTAGTCAGGCGCTAAACATTATCATGGCTGAAGTCTCGTCCACATAAACAAGGCATACTCCTTCTCCACCACAGCCTGCCAATCATGCTTATCGAAAGGGAGCTCAGGGTTGTTGGCTGGAATTCTATATTTGGAATGCATTGTGTCTGCTGATGGCTTTCTATTACTGTCAAAATAAATGTGTGGACTGTCATCAAAGTGCACAACTTCTGAACGTGCTAATTGCCTGGCTTTCAAACGGACCCAATCAATGCCTTTTAATGTTTCCTAAGTCATTGAACCAAAACAGACAAGCTGATCAGGGGTTCTGATTTCACCTAATACATGCTTGTTCTTGATTCGTGACTTAGAATGCATTGAAGTGAAAGGCAGTAAGGCTACTTGGGAACAGTGTCATCCCACAGTTCTTTCAGCTACTTTAAGGGCTTTAAGCTACTTTAATTGTCAACGAGCTTTTGTTTTAAATGGGTTTTACATTTAAATGGGTATGCAAAACCTTAAAAAGCAGGGCAGAAGGAGATCGACTGCAGGTCAGATGCACCCAGCAGTGAATTCTGAATGATCTCAGAAGCATTTTGAACTGATGTCAGGCTGTTGCCAAGTCCCTAAAGGAAACCTGTGAAAAACACGGGGGGTGTCATTGCCGATCTCTTTATTAAAAAATGCCCGTCGCCTGTTTTTTATGGCTTTAGTCACTGACCTGAAACACACAGGTTGTTGAATTAGAAAGTACTGGAACTAGAGGGCCGGTATAACAGCCAGACAACTAACATTTGCAGAAGGATATAGACAATGGCTCCCCCCATATGTAAAAATGCATCATTCACATGGGGTGTGTTGCCCTGTGCAGCCTGAAAGGTCATTTTTTTTCATGTGCCCGGAGCTGCGGGAAGAAGCCTATAGGCAGTTCTTGTAAGCCTGTAAAGATGCAGAAGCTATTCACCCTCACGTGCAGCTCCGACCTTGACAGCTGCACACAGACAGTGCACGTACCTGGATCTATCATGTATGTATCTGAGGTCGTTCACCCTTTGTGTGCGGCTGTCAAAACTCGAGCTGCAGGAAGCAGTGTGTGAGGGCACACGGCTTCTGTGCCTCCATAGACTTGCATGTGCTGCCCACATGCTTCTTTCTGCAGCTCCGTGCACATCAAATAAACCTCCCTTCATGTTGTATGGGGCATCACTCCCCATTTAAATGAGGTCTTTATGGTCTAGGTTTGTTCGGATGAATCTAATAAAGGCGCACAAGTGCATTAGGAACATAAACGTGTAGGTGGGGGTATTTCAGGTATGCTGCAGTGGATGCATTTTATATACTGCACTCACATATATTGCTTCATTCCCTCCAGAGCTGATGTTTTTGGAAACCAGTGCTCTGACAGGAGAAAACGTGGAAGAAGCTTTCTTAAAATGTGCTCGGACGATATTAAATAAAATAGACTCAGGTAAGAGTAAGCTGTGTGTGTAATTCTATTTAAAGCCAAAGACCATTTTATTATAAGCTGGAGATGACTGAGTCAACCTAACATCATCAACAAACTTTTGTTGGATGACATTTTGTTCATCCTCCTCCTTCCTATTGCAGAGATATCCCTAAAATTAGTTTTGCGACATCATTGGCACATGTGCACATTCCTAGGATCTGGTGGTGCCGCGATCTTCATTGTATCTTGTAGACTGCTCATAACCAGGGACAGGAAGTGAAGGAAAAAAAGCAGTTTGCAAAAAATAATGCGGACGTGTAGAGCATTATGCTGGCTTTGAAAGTTTTTGATGTACGGAGGGTTTAGTGACAGAATCTGGAGCAGATTTGCACTGCAACCAATCAGCTTCTCTGTTTTATTTTATAATCTTACCTGAGCAAACTGAAGAGAGAAGCTGATTGGTTGCTATGGGCAACTGCTCCAGATTCTGTTTTGCTCCAGTTTTGATAAATTCCCCCCTTAGACTTGCTTTGTAAAATGGAGCAGTAAAGCCCAACTCTTCAATAGCACTGCAAAGCTGGAAGCAGAGCCTGCATGTGTAATGAGCAAAAATGGCTGCCATATACCATACACCTGTTCTACTACACAATACACACAGAATCCAGGTGCCTTAAAAGATTTACATGAATCTGATATTATTTATGCACCTTAAAAACATGGACTAGACTATGTATTCCTCCATATTCCTTCATAGCTTTCTTTTATTTTTCAGGAGAGCTTGATCCAGAAAGGATGGGATCTGGGATCCAGTATGGAGAAGCCTCGCCACGGCACGCAAAGCACATGCATGGGACACAGCTGCAGAACAGACAGCAGTGCAACTGTTAAGCAGCAAGACAGGTAAACCTTAACCACTTCAGTATGGGAGGGTTGACCTGGGCACACAATCCCATTTTGAGGGCCAGGCTGGTTTACGCAGTGTTACTTGATGTCCTTTCAGCTCTTTTTGCAGCCTCCTGTTCTGTAGTAAAGTATTCTTCATGTATTAGAGTTCTTTTCTGTCTCAGGTTCACCTACATTGTATTGTATATGCTTTCTGGTTAGTGAACACTCTCTCTTGCTGGGCTTGAGAAGTTTCAGGGGATACACGCCAGCTCCTTTCTATCACTTGACGCAGTACTAAAATTAGGGTTGCACCGATACCGTTTTTTCGGTATTGAGTACTGATATTTTCTTTTTGGTTATTCGTCGATACCGATATCGGAAGTCCCATTAAGGAAGCTGGGCGGCGTGTAATGACTTGCCGGCCAGCTTCCTGATTAGCCGGGTGGCGTGTAATGACTCGCCACTCGGTTTCCTAATTAGCAGGGAAGCCTACTCGATGCTCCCTCGTCACCAGGTGGCGAGGAAGTATGGAGCTGGCTTTCTGGCCAATCAGGAAGCGCGGGG